GCCCCGCGGCGGGGCAGCCGCAGGTAAAGCCGGGGGCCGGCCCGCCTGCGCCCCTGGGCGCTGAGGAGGGGAGGCGGGAGCCCCCGGCCACTGGGTACTCTCCCCCGAGGATGGGAGGGGGTGCCTGGGCGGGCTGGACCCCGAATGGGCGGGGCGGGGCCGTTCTCCCCGACCTCTGCCCCAGTCCAGCAGGTGTCTGGCAGGCCGGTGGGAAACAGTGGGTAATAGAGGAGGTGGGGAGGGTGTGTGTGTGTGTGTGTGTGTGTGTGTGTGCGCGCGCGCGCGCGCGTTCAGCTGGGCCTGAATGTGGAAGGGCGTGGGCATTTGGAGGGATAGATGTAGGGGGGCCGTGTTGGGGTGTACTAATGTCTTAGCACAGGCATGTGGATCAGAACGTGGTTGCGGTGCGTTGGTGTGTAAGGGTATCCGTATGGGTGGGGATGTCTGGGAATCAGTGTTTTTTATTGGAGACAGATGTCCAGGTGTTGCTGGCTCTAAGGGTAGTAAGGCAGAGTCTGTATGTGTGTGTGTGTGGGGGGTGTACAATTACGTACTGAGGATGTTTGGCCTTAGGTGTGTAAGGAGTTGGGTTTGGTTTGGCGTATAGGAGCTTCTAAGGTGTGGGGTAGAGGAGCTGGAGGGTTTAGGGTATGAGTGAATCTCGGATGTCTGGTATATGGGTATGTGTATGTGTGTGTCATCTTGTCCAGGTGTGTATGGATTTGTGTTTTGGGGTGTAAGAGGGATATTGATGAGGGATGTTTTCGTGGATAGACAGGTGTCAGGTGTAAGGATATCTGTGGGAGTGAGTGGACATGTGTGTTGATGTCTGTGTGTTCATGTGTGATCAAGTGTCCTGGTGTCTGGACACAAGGTGTGCTGGATCTGGAAGCCAAGTGTTTGGGATCAGGGGTGTGGATGGGTCTTGATGTGTGGTGTCTGGTGCAGGAATGCATGTGGAACTGTGGAAATTATATTTGCCAGGCTTCCATGTGGGTTTAAGACATCAAGTCTCCTTTCCTAGAACTTTCTGCCCCTAGGATGTGTGGCCAGGGCTCCCTGAGAACAAGGTCCCATGCAAGGAGTGGAATCTCACATCAGAATCTCTAGTTAGGGCATCTTCTCCTCAGTCTCCCACAGAGGAAAGAAAGAAGGAAAGTGCCCTCCCTACGATCACACAGTATACTGGGCTGTTTTATTTTTGACCGGTAAGGGGATCGCAACCCTCGGCACGATGTGGTTTGCACCACGCTCAGCCAGTAAGCGCACCGGCCATCCCTATATAGGATCCAAACCCACGGCCTCAGCGCTATCAGCAACGCACTCTCCCGAGTGAGCCACGGAGCTGGCCCTATACTGGGCTGTCTTGGCCTTACCCTCTGTGGGTATGGGGTTGAGAAGCTGTTCTCTGAATTGGCCCCAGTCTGGCTTCATATTGGATGGACCAGCTGAGGGCAGCTCCTCCGTGGCTTTTGCCCTCAGCAAACTTAGCTGGTGCCCCAGCTGGGTGCCATTTGGTCAACCCTGGACCCAGTCCCTACCCATCTCCAACCTCTGTCTCTCCATTTCCCAACTGATAAATAGGGAGAGAACTCCCACCCTCTCCTACTGATGAGACAGAGGCCTCAGCAGAACGTTCAGGATGGATCAGGATGAGATGGGGCCAGGAGGAGACCAACTGGGTAGGACCATTTCTCAGGCTGCTGGGACCCAGATGGGGAGTCAGAAGGAAAAGGCCTGGGGAGCCCCAGCTATGACTGCTGTTGCCATGGTAACAGTGCAGAAGGAGCTATTTAAAAACGTGGCTGAGATATTGCTGGAAGCCCAGGCTGCCAGAAACCTGATTTCCAAGAGGCCAGGGTGGGGAGAAGGGGGAGGAGGGAGAGGAGGTACCCCAGCAATTCCCAGGGTGGGGCTGGAACATCGCTAGTTCTGGGGACAGGGGGATCCTCTATGGCCATGTGTTTCTATGAGCCGCTCTGGGGTTTCATCTGTTGTCCTCCCAGAGGTCAGGGTTTCCCTGGGTTTTGGATTTGGAGAGGGAGAAACTGGGAAGTGAGCTTCAATAAATGAATGAATGCATGACTTTGTTGAATAAAGAATTTTGCTGCATGGATGAAAAGAAATATGAAAGATTTTTCTCTAGGCATAAGAATTTGCTGAATGGATGTTTCTGAGTAAATTACTAGTGAATGAATGAATGTTCATTGAATGATTTTGTCAAATGAATGGATCAAGCAGTGAATAAAATGGGTTGAATGAATGAATGAAGCCTGCAGTAAATTCCCAGACAGCAGGCTGGGCCCCACTGAGCCTCCTCCCCCCACTCCCCTTCCCAGGAGCCCTGGCTGTGGCCAGGGGGCAGTGGGCCATGCCGGGGGCAGTGGAAGGCCCCAGCTGGAAGCAAGCAGAGGACATTAGGGATATTTACGACTTCCGAGATGTTCTGGGCACGTAAGTCTCAGGACAGGAGCGGGTGGCTGTCTCTGAGCTGGGGGAGGAATTGGGAAGGTTCTCACTCCTGGGCCTGGATAGCGGGGGGGGAGGCGGAGTCCAGGGTGGTGCTTCCTCTGGTCAGTTGATCAATGCTTCCTGTTTCCTACAGCACAGGCCCAGTGGCGGCCTTGCCATGACCCAGGCCAGTCCCAGTTTTTTACTTCTGGCTGACAGCGGGTGGGACAGGGGTTGCTCTTGCTACTGCTCTTGCTACTGTTCCTGCTGAAGAGAAAAAAGTGTGGGAGAATGAAAGGGCCATTTTATCCAATTTGCTGCCAAGAGCTGGGAGTTCAGGCCTAGGTTTGGGAACTGAGGCTGGGCATGGCTCTTAGTTCTGGGAATTCAGAAATAACTCAAACCTGGTCTCTGCCCCTCAAGGGGGCCCTAGACATAACAGAAAATGACAACAGGTTTGTGCTGAGATCTCACAAAGGTGGGAGTGAGGGCTTCGCAGAGCCCAGAGAGAGCTGTGGCTTCTGCCAGGAGGGGGGCGAGGGGCGGAGCTTTCTGGAGAAGCGGGCTTTGGAGCTGGGGACTGAAGGATGGGTAGGTACGCACTTGTCAGAGAGGAAGAAAGGCAATCCAGGCAGAGGGAATAGCATAATCAGTTTTGGAGGCATGGTATGTGTGGAAAGAGGTAAGGAGCCTGGTGCAGCTTAAAATCAGAGGTTGGGGGAAGAGTGGAAGAGGCTGGAGACAACAGTGGATCATTTCATGCTGTGCCTTGGAAGCCAGGCTAAGGAGGCTAAATGTTATCCCATGGGACATGGGGAGACAGTCAAGACTTCTTGGCAGGTTTGCAATTCAGCACTGACACTGTGGCCACAGCATGGAGGGTAAATTGGAGAGGGGCAAGGCTGGAAACCAGTGATGAGGTTGCCACAGTCACTAGTTATCCCTAATGCTTGAAATTTCATCACGAGAGATATTTTTTTCTTTAACTTATGACTTCTTATTCTCCCAGGGAAAGCAAATATATGTGGAAAGAATACTCTAGTAAATCCTTTTAATCAGTGAACTTTAATGTAAATGAGTTTATTCCTTTCTAAGACCTAGTTTTTTTTGTTTGTTTTTTTTTTTTCAAAAAGATGACCAGTAAGGATCTTAACCGTTGACTTGGTGTTGTCAGCACCACACTCAGCCAGTGAGCTAACTGGCCATCCAGTTAGCTGGATGAGATCCAAACCCTTGGCCTTGTTGTTATCAGCACCACACTCTCCCGAGTGAGTCACAGGCCGGCCCCTAAGACCTAGTTCTAAGGCACTGCTTTTTAAACTTCAGGGAGCATATAAATTACCTGAGGATCATGTTAAAATGTAGGTTCAGATTTAGTAAATCTGGGGTGGGGACTGAGAGTCTGCATTTCCAGAGTTCCAGGTGATGTTGGTGATTCTTCAAGGTTCTAAAAGGTATTAAATTACCTATGATTGGGCCGGACGGTTAGCTCAGTTTGTTAGAGCGTGGTGTTGCTAACACCAAGGTCAAGGGTTCTGATTCCCTTACTGGCCAGCTGCCAAAAAAAAAAAAAAAAAAAAAAAAAGCCATTATTCAAATAGGCTTTAGCAGGAAAAGGAACCGGGCACACAATCAAAAAGCTCGGGCAGGCCCGTGGCTCACTCGGGCGAGTGTGGTGCTGATAACACCAACTCCCCGGGTTCGGATCCCATATAGGGATGGCCGGTTAGCTCACTGGGTGAGCGTGGTGCTGACAACACCAAGTCAAGGGTTAAGATCCCCTTACTGGTCATCTTTTAAAAAAAAGAAAAAAAAAAAAAGCCATTATTCAAATAGGCTTTAGCAGGAAAAGGAACCGGGCACACAATCAAAAAGCTCGGGCAGGCCCGTGGCTCACTCGGGCGAGTGTGGTGCTGATAACACCAACTCCCCGGGTTCGGATCCCATATAGGGATGGCCGGTTAGCTCACTGGGTGAGCGTGGTGCTGACAACACCAAGTCAAGGGTTAAGATCCCCTTACTGGTCATCTTTTAAAAAAAAGAAAAAAAAAAAAAGCTCAGGAGTAGTAGACTTCAGGCATGGCTGAATCCAGGGACCCCCATGATGTTATCAGGGAGACTATTTCTCAGGTTTGATTTCCTTTGCGTTCGCTTCATTCTCAAGCAGGCTCTCCCCAAGTGGTGGCAGAGATGACTGCCATCAGCTCCAGGCTTACATCCTACCAGCTTAGCAAGAAAGAGTGCCTCATTCTCAAAGTGCCAGTAACCTGGCTTGTGTCACATGACCAATTACTGTGGGCTGGGGATGGACTATTCTCACTGGCTGGGCCTGGGTCATGTGACCATCTGTGGAGCTAAGCAGGGAATGAGTGATGGGAGGGGCTCAATCCACCACTTTGGTCCAGAGGTGGTCACATAACCCACAGGGGATGGAGGAAAGGCTGGAGGGAAACTGGAGTTCCAGTTCCTCACCTTGCAAATCCCCTCTCCTCGCAGGGGGGCCTTCTCAGAGGTAATCCTGGCAGAAGATAAGAGGACTCAGAAGCTGGTGGCCATCAAATGCATCGCCAAGAAGGCCCTGGAGGGCAAGGAGGGCAGCATGGAGAATGAGATCGCTGTCCTGCACAAGTGCGTGGGCCACAGTCTGTCCCTGTCCCAGGTTGACCCTGCTTTGGCCCCTTCCACCATCCTCCTTCCCCTGCTTTGGACAAATCATTTAAAATCTGTGCCTCAAATCGCTCATGTACAAAATGGGATAATAATTTCTACTTTGCAGTGTTGTGTGGAGCATTAGAGGTCTTTTATCTCAAGTGCCTGGCACAACGGCTAACATGACAAATGTGATTGAGATGCCAGTGTTTATTTACAGTGGTTTAATCTGTTCAATCAGGTCTAAAGGTCAACCCTTGAACATGGTTTGAACTCACATATTTCAGCTGGTGTTAACTTTAGATGCACCTCAAGCTCCCCCCTAAGCCACTCAGCAAGTTTTTTTTTTTTTTTTTTAAAAATGACCGGTAAGTGGATCTCAACCCTTGGCTTGGTGTTGTCAGCACCACGCTCAGCCAGTGAGCGAACCGGACATCCCTATATAGGATCTGAACCCGTGGCCTTGGTGTTATCAGCACCGCACTCTCCCGAGTGAGCCACAGGCCGGCCCAGCAAGTTTTAAAATGCCTGTTGCCCCCTAACTAAATCAACAACCAACTGTTCTATGAATTTCTCATGTTGATGTGAAACCTCCTGCCCTCTCTGAAAATGTTACAGAGAATCTTCACTTCCAGTCTCTCACCTGAGCTTCCCACCCACCCTGGGCAGGGAAGAAATGGTCATTTCTACTATCTGGGGGTGAGTGTGGGGGAATGAAGCCAGAGAGAGCAAGGTACTTGTCCAAAGTCACAAAGCAAGTTTGTGGAAGAGCTGAGTCTTCCTTATCATCAAGATCAATCACCATTATTGGTTCATTTATTGAGGTTTATTGTGTGCCAGGCACTGTGCTAAGCACCCTACCTGCATTATCTCACATGATCCTCACCCAACTCCTTGAGGAAACTACTGTCATTGGCTTCATTTTATGGATGAAGAAACTGACGTTCAGAGAGGTTACATTCAGGTCCACAAGTATTATGAGCACCTACTCTACATCAGGTGCAGGAAAAGCAGTGGTGAGGAGGACAAAGTCTCTAGACTTGGAGCTGATGTTCTGGTGGGGGAGGCTGACAAATGTATACATGCAGAAAACTTTTAAGAGTCATATACCAGGCCAGCCCGTGGCTCACTCGGTAGAGTGCGGTGCTGATAACACCAAGGCCACGGGTTCGGATCCTATATAGGGATGGCCGGTTTGCTCACTGGCTGAGCGTGGTGCTGACAACACCAAACCAAGGGTTGAGATCCCCTTACCGGTCATCTTTAAAAAAAAAAAAAAAAAAAGAGTCATATACCAATCAGTGCTATGAGTGGAAACACCTGCACCCAAATAGCAGGTGGTAGAGGCAGGATTTGGACCCAGGTCCATCCGATGCCAGAGCCCAGTGTTTACCCTTCTGCTTTCTTGACTTATGGTTTGTCCTGGCCAAGTCTGCAGGTAGTAGAGAGGTGGCTGAGCTGTCCTCAGCTCTGAACTAATTTCTCCTTTCAGGATCAAACACCCCAACATTGTAGCCCTAGATGACATCTATGAGAGTGGGGGCCACCTCTACCTCATCATGCAGCTGTGAGTAGCCCTGCCTCTGCCCCTTCCTCGCTAGTCTCCCTGCTGCCCCGACTCCCTTGGCTAGACTGCCCTATCACCTGCTGCAGGGTGTCAGGCGGGGAGCTGTTTGACCGCATCGTGGAAAAAGGCTTCTACACAGAACGGGATGCCAGCCGCCTCATCTTCCAGGTGCTGGATGCCGTCAAGTACCTGCATGACCTGGGCATTGTACACCGGGATCTCAAGGTGAGCTCAAGGTGATGAGCTGGGCATCCAGGGATGGAGCCTTTGCAAACCTCTCACTCTTTGACCTTGGGCAACTCTCATTCCCTCTCCGAACCCTGGCTTCCCATCTGCACACTGTACCTTGTAATCCACCTTGTAACCCCTAAACAGCCTTCTCCAATTCTTTTTTTTTTTGTCTTTTTCCGTGTCCGGCAACGGATCGCAACCCTCAGTGTTGCCCCCGTACCGGACCAGGGACCGGCAACGGGACCGCAACCCTCGGCGTTGCTCCCACGCCTCGCTCAACCAGTGAGCGGGAACCGGTCCGCATGTGGGATCCGAACCCTCGGGCGGGAGCGCCGCCGCGCCTCCCAAGCGGCGCACTATCCAGTGCACCACCGGGCCGGCCCTCCAATTCTAATTTAGATAATCAGAGACCCAAAAAATGAATTGTGCTGATACTTTATCCAAATAACATTTTGTGGCTTTTTCTGTTAAGAAATGTCCCACTTACTCTTTGTAGAAAACTGGGATGGGACAGCAAAGCATAAAGAAGTCAGAAATCCTTGAAATCCTACTCCTCAGAGATAACGACGGGGTTCACATTTTGTACTACATCTCACTCTGGTCTAGAAAAGTGCTAGGATGAGACAGAGCTGGGTTCAAATTCTGGCCCTGCTACTCCCTAACTGTGCATTCTTAGGCAAGTCACTTTGCCTCTCAAGGCATCAGTTTCCTCATCTGTAAAGTGAGATTATTCAGATTGGCCTGGCAGGGACATTGTAAGGATGAAATGAAAGCAGGCACTGAGGGGCTGGCTGACTAGCTCAGTTGGTTAGGGTGCAGCCTTGTAACACCAAGGTCACGGGTTTGGATCCCCGTACTGGCCAGCTGCCAAAAAAAACCAAACTGAGGCCGGCCCGGTGGCGCACTGCTACAGTGCGCTGCTTGGGAAGCGCAGCGGCGCTCCCACTGAGGGTTCGGATCCCACATACAGACCGGCCGCTCACTGGCTGAGCGAGGTGCGGGAGCAACACCGAGGGTTGCGATCCCATTGCCGGTCCCGGTCCGGTACGGGCGCGACACTGAGGGTTGCAATCCGTTGCTGGTCACGAAAAAAGACAAAAAGGAAAAAAAAAAAAAAAAAACCAAACTGAGCACTAATCCAGGGCCTGGCAAACAATAAGTGCTCAAAAATTTATTTAGGCTTTGCAATACACACCTGAGGTTTACAGAAAATTCCCTCCCACACCCTCTAGGCCCTTGTCCTTTCTGGAACTTTTGGCCTTTTTAAGAACTTCCTTAAAAAGTTTCTTACACCTCCAGCCAAGATGGCAGCTGTGAAGCCACAGTGGCTTTGGGAAACCTATTCTTTCTCAGGGGATGCTTGGGGCGGCAGAAGGTTCTGTCAGCCTCTGTACATCTCTGACTGCCCCTTTCCCTCCCTACTGCCCTCCAAGCCAGAGAATCTGCTATACTACAGCTTGGATGAAGACTCCAAAATCATGATCTCTGACTTTGGCCTCTCCAAGATGGAGGACCCAGGCAGTGTGCTCTCAACGGCCTGTGGGACCCCAGGATACGTGGGTATGGAGAGCACTGGGCTGGGGCTGTGGGTGGGGGAGAAACCGGGAGCTGCAGGACAGAGATTGTCATCACCATGTCCCCTTTCCTCCATAGCCCCTGAGGTCTTGGCCCAGAAGCCCTACAGCAAGGCCGTGGATTGCTGGTCCATCGGGGTCATTGCCTACATCCTGTAAGTGGGGTTTGGCCATGGCAGGGTGTACTCGAGTTGTCCTCTCCCCTGCTTTCCTCTTCCTCCCTCTGCTGTGTCTTCCTTCCTTCCATCCATAATTATATCTACCAATTAAGTGTTAATACTACTTCACTCACTAGATACTATATTTCAGGCACTGTGCCAAGCACTGGGCTGGGTATTTAGCAGGGAACAAACCAGACAAAGTGCCTGCCCTCAAGAAGCTGACCTTCTAACAGGGGAGGCAGACAATCAACAAGGAAATAAATCTACAAAATAACGTCAGGTGATAAAAAATGTTGTGAAGGAAAGTCGAGTAGGAGTAGGGAGATGGGGATGGATGCCATTTCAGATAAGGAGGTCAGGGTAGGGCTCTTTGTGGAGGTGACATTTGACTGGCATCCTGAACGAAGCAAGGGAGCCAGACATTCAAGGTGTGGGGGAAGAATGGTTTAGGCAGAGGGAATGGCAGGTGCAAAGGCCCTGAGGAGGGCAAGCTGGTGACATGTTCGAGGAACAGAAAGAAGGCCAGTGTAGCTAGACAGGAGTGGGCAAGGCAGAGAGGGGTAGATTTTACAAAGGGGGAACACCTTCCTGTGGGTCCTGTCTGACCCATAGGATGGCCCCCAAGCTCCATCCTGGAGCCGGTGGGTGCACTGAAAGTGGAAATGAGGATGAGTTTCTCCCTGCCCAGGCTCTGCGGTTACCCCCCCTTCTATGACGAGAATGATGCCAAACTCTTTGAACAGATTTTGAAGGCCGAGTACGAGTTTGACTCTCCTTACTGGGACGACATCTCTGACTCTGGTATTTGGGGATTTGCCTTCTTCCCTGGGCCTCTCCTCTGGTGCCTTCCTCATCTGCTTTGGGGGTCTCCCCACTGCCTTCCTTCTGTCAGATTCCCCAGCCCCAGACTAAGAGCTGTCTTTGAGACCAGACACCCACCCCAGGTGCTTCCCTCTGCTTGGCCCCCACTGAGAAACTTGTAGCATTCATTCATTCAGTCTTCAAACATAGTATTGTTGCAAATACCTGCCCTCTACTGACTTCCTAAGGCCTAAAACACCACCATAAACATTTTCATCCCTCCTTTTGTGCCCCTATTTAAAAGCAAACCTGTGAAGCCATGACCAGTTGTTTACACATCAGTGTTACACACCAAGTAGATTCTTCTCTAAGAACAAGTTTTTTTGTTTTTTTCGGTGGCTGGCCGGTAAGGGGACCTGAACCCTTGACCCTGGTGTTATAATACCACATGCTAACCAACTGGGCTAACCAGCCAGCCCTCTAAGAACGAGTTTCTCTTAAGAGAGAAAGAGCTGGAAAGCTTGGGGTGGAGGTGGGGGGGTTTAGAGAAAGAGCACAGGTGGGGTGAGGTGGTGCATGGACAGATTTAGCCTCTTTGTCTTGCTTTGATGCCAGGCCAGTTCTGAGGTAGTGGGACTCTCTTGGGGGTATCCACAGGCACTGCCATGCTGTTTCTCTTTGCTTTTGGGTTTTAGCTAAAGATTTCATCCGGCACTTGATGGAGAAGGATCCAGAGAAGAGGTTCACCTGTGAGCAGGCCTTGCAGCACCCATGGTGAGAGCTCCACAGCTGTGGACTGGGGTGGGGCCTGGGGCCTCCAGGTTTGCCTCTGCCCTCACAGGCAACCCTCCACATACCCTCATCTTAGGATTGCAGGAGATACAGCTCTAGATAAGAATATCCACCAGTCGGTGAGCGAGCAGATCAAGAAGAACTTTGCCAAGACCAAATGGAAGGTGAGCCATGTCCCTAGTCCTGGGTCCCAGCCTCCCCAGGATCCTCCCTACCCCCCATCCAGGCTCAGCTCACACAGCACCTACCATTAAGTCGGGCACACAGTAACTGCTCAGAGATGCTTACAGAAGGACCTCATTCATTCATTCATTCAACAAATTCCCTGACACCTACCATATTCAGAAGGGTACCTGGACTCCAAGTCTAGAGGGAGAACAGTCTATAATTCTTCAGGAAACATCTGATCCAGCCCACAGGCTCTGGAAGGTTCATAAAGGTAGTGATGACCTGACGGATTTGTCAGACCTGTCAGCTGAGTAGGAATTAGCCAGGCACCACGGGATAATTCTGAGGCAGGGGAATGGGTGTACAAAGGGCCAGGGGCAAGCAAGAGTGTGGCCATTCAGGGAAGTGCAAGTGCTAAGTCTGGCTGGACTGGAGGGCTGAGAGGATTGAGGGGCAGGAGCCCAGGCTGGAGAACAGATAGGGGCCAGGCCACTCAGGGCCTTGATTGTCACAGTGGAGCACCGACTAGACCTTGAGAGTGCTAAGGAATCTTAGGAGGATTTTAAGCAGGAATTTGCCCTTTAGAAAGGGCTCTCAGGGGCCGGCCCGGTGGCGCAGTGGATAGTGCGCCGCTTGGGAAGCGTGGCGGCGCTCCCGCCCGAGGGTTCGGATCCCACATACAGGCCGGTTCCCACTCACTGGCTGAGCGAGGCGCGGGAGCAACGCTGAGGGTTGCGATCCGTTGCGGGACACGGAAAAAAAAAAAAAAAAAAAAAAAAAAAAAAAAAAAAAAAAAAA